AAAAAAAAAAAAAAGAAATAAAGAACAGGACAGGAGGACATAAAGGTAACATGAAAGACGAGGAGATAAAAGTGATTTTGATTTAAATTTTCTGTAAAGTTAGTACTTGCCTGAGTAGTGATACCCTGCCAGGTGATGGCCTCTTGGAAAAACTGGGTCCTGAAGCATCAAACGTTCCAATGTTTCCTGCAAATCAGCATCAGGAAGGGAATAAATAATACCACATCTAACAGTAAAAAATAAAGATATGTGGATTTACATCAATATTTGAAGTTTTGATCAAATTCTGCTGCTGTTGTTCGTATTAATTTGTTTCATTTTGATCGTTGTCAGTGCAAACTGAGACTGAGAGTCGCTATACTTACAAGAAAATCACCTCCACATTCATGTAAACAGTGTAAAACCAGCTCCTGATTGGTTCCTCCACCTCTGAACACACTGGAACAAGCCATGTTCATCAAATCAACCACTGGGAAGAAAAGAACGGAGGCATGAAGTGAGAAAAGCTAATTGAATAAGGAAACTGTTCGTACTCTGCGTTCATTTCGTTTGTATTGGTGCATGTCCTCTAAAATCATGGGGGGGGGGCAGCGAGACGACCAAAACACATCAGGAAGAAATTTCTGTATAATGTTACAAAAAATAAATGTTGCCTCTTTGAGAACAACATTTTTGTTGTTCTCAGAAAGTCTTGACCCTGTGCTGCCCTCTGGTGGATGTTTTTCCTTAACAAAGATGCCAAAGAAAATGATGCATGTATGTGGGCGGTGACATGTATTGTCTTTAAAAGAGTCTCGACAGTCAGTATGACATGAGATACTAACTGCTCTCTTGGTCGCCATGTTTCAGGTTGGCGTTTTCCACAGGGACCCAAACCAGGTCGGCCTTGAGTTGGTCAAACTGGGAGGCAAGTTGATCCTGCAGATCTGGAATATCTGCCTGGTAATGCTGTCCGATGTTGATACGCCTGGACAACAAAGAAAAGGGTCAGAGTTATGGAGAGCCCAGCAAAGTTTTTTGGACCAAAATGTTTATGTTGGAGGTGGTGCTCACGGTTCGAGGCTAACTGGTGTGACATCAGTGATCATGGGGAGGACCGGGGGAGTGATTTCTGAACTTGCTGAAAAACACAAATAATAAAAAAAAAAATGTACACATTATATGAAAAGGTTTCTAGTGGAATTCACGAGAGAGTCGACAACTAACACTTACTGGAGCGCAACAGGCTGCGCGTCGCAGACTTGGGCGTTGGTGGCGGAGGCAGGATCTGGTTGCTTACGGCCATTGTGGTCATCAAGGTGGAGAAATAGAGTCCCGAGCCTTCGCGCACAGGAGAGAGGATGGGTGGAGGCGTGTAGGGGGGCAGTAGGAGGGGGTGGTCCGGCATACGGACCGGAGAGCGCAGGTTGCTCTGGTAGGAGGAGATGCTGGAGTAGATGGATGGAGCGATGAAGGTGGATGGTTTGGGAAGAGGGATGATGAGAGGCTCTGGGCGAGGGCGGCGCTTGAATTTGGATTTTCCATCCACATCCAGCCCTGGATCGTTTTCACCATCCTGGAGGGAAGATGGAACATGTTACTGTTAAACTTGTTGATAACAGAGTCACAATCACTGTTTAAACTTTAAATCACTGCCAAAGCAAACCAAGCATTTCCTACAGCTGCGGCTTCATATTAAAGGTTCAACTGGATATACACCTTTATTTGGCTTTTATTTTGAAACAGTAGCAGGAAATGCACTGTAATGTAATACCTCAGAAGGAGAGAGCCCGAGTCGTTGCCTTACTTCCAGTGTTTTATACAACCACAATATGGGTCCCTGAACACGAGCTGCTGTCACAGTCCCAATTCACTTTGATACTTCCTGATAACACTCCCGTTATATCTCTCCGCACTCTTCAACTCTCTCACATACACAACACAGAGTGTCTTTTCCACCCCTTAACTCCACCCACTGCTGAACCTGCAGATTAGCCAATCAACATTAGGAACGAATACAAAGAACATAAACACAGACAGAACAGAACATTATGCACAGATATGACAGTATCAAAGTGCTGTTGAGATTACGACTCAATAAAATCAATTACTTTTTTTTGGCTGTGCTGTAAACGGACACATCAGTTCCTTTGTGACCATGGGCGTTGCCAAATCAACCGGGTCGGAAATCTTAAAGACTATACACCCACCGACCACTTTATTAGGAACACCCTTAAACTGTACGGGAATAGCTTCTTGTTCATGTTCAATTGTCCAATCAGCGGTGGACTAGCAGTGGTGCATAAAATCATGCTGACACGGGTCAAAAGCTTCAGTTCATTTTCACTTTGAGTGTGTTATGAAAGTTGCAGATGCTGCTGCTGATGTGAGAATTTCTGAAACTGCTGATCTCTTGGGATTTGAGTTTTGATCTCACACAAAATCTTAAAACATCCACTGGACAGCCGTGCTTGTTGTCGAGAGAGTTCAGAGGAGAACAACCAGACTGACTGGAGTTGAAAGAAGGGCTCTGGCAACTCTTTAAACTGCGGTGAGCAGACAGGCGTCTCAGAAAGAACATGTTGAGGAGGCTTCGTCAGGTCGGCCAAGAACAGAAATCTGAGGCTGCGGTGCACACGGGCTCAGACAAACTGGAAAAACTTAGCCTGGTCTGTGGGATTTCTGCTGAGGCTGCAGAATTTGGCATCAACTGCATGAATCCACGGACCCAACCTGCCTCATGTTAAGGATGGAGGTGGAGGGGTAATGGTTCGGTGGATGGAGCTCACTTAATAACGACCAAAATTGTTCTAAACAATAAATATTGTTGCTGATCATGTCACCAGATGTGAGCTTGGTTAATGGTGATGATGTTATCACGTCAACATGGAGCAGAATCTTATAATAATGACTCGAGTGGTTTGTAGAGCTGAGGCTGTGAAGCGAGGCCCTGCTCAGTAAAAGCATGATGTTCCTGATAAAGTGCTCGATGCATGTGACTCTCTCTGCTGAGCATTTATCACTGATTAATCTCTCTTTTACAAACCAACCACATACAGCAGAATACACACGATCACATCTGATGTTTTCCTTTCCATGACGGCACTGGATGGTATGATGTCAAATTGTTGAATCAAGCTTCATTGTGAGCGAACACACCCACTTTTTAAGAGCGCTCCTCCACACCCTCCATGACTGCTCCAGGCTTCAGCACCTTCTAATTCAACTAGAATGTCACTCGGTAGAGCGCTGACCTCTGCCAAGGCCCAACAGAACCCTTAAATACATTCGATCATTTCACTCGTCGATATGAGTCACCTTTACATGCCTGATTTAAACAAATAAATAAAAATAAAAATCCATGAATCAGATCACAATCTCACATGCATTTCAAACTGACAGAAAGGGCCCAAACAATAAACAACAAAGCAGATTTCGTCTCCTCACAGAACTAACCTGGCCAAAACTCTCAGTCATGGAGTTCCTGAGCGATCGCCGGCGAGCCACAATGACGGAGGGTTTGCGGTCGGACTGTGCCATGCTCGGCCGCTCACTCTGGCCGAGTCGCCCCTGAGCCCAACCTCCCTGAGGATCCATCTGGCTCCTGTGCACCGGGACAGACACAGGGATGACCAGGGGCACCATGGTGGTCTGTCTGCCTGAGGAGCCATCTTCCTGTAGAGGCAGGAATAAGGAAGGAAAGAAAGAGGCAGGTAGATGAGGAGATATGAGAGAGAGAGAGAGCATTACAGGATATTTGAGAGGAAAAAGAAAAGTGGTTGAGATGAGATATCACCTAAACTCAAGGGTTCATCGCCTACAATGTTCATTTTAGTCCTCGTCAAAGTTGTTGCTTATTAACTTCCTCAATTAACTAATCAATTGTTTCAG